AAAAAAAAAATAGATGATGAATCTCAAAAGTGTAATTCAAAAGACGGCAGTACCTTGTACACCGAACCGAAACCACCCTCACCAATCTTGTTTGCAGGATCGAAGTTCTTAGTAGCAGCCTTAATCTGTCTTAAAGTGAACATGCCTGTTTGTAGATCAAGACCTCTAAGCTCTGTCCATGCACAAATAATAAATCTCATCATAACACAGAAAAATAATGTTCTTCAAACTCTTTGATGATGCCTGTATATATAAATCACTTCTGTTTATACGATAATCAATTTTGCAGCTTTTTAGAAAAAGTTAAAATTAACCGCTAAAAACGGTCATACGAAAAGTTGGAATGAAGTTTTTTGACCTTTATCAGTCGATGATTTGCCTCCTCCAAGATACCCTCGCTTACGCAAGAAAGCTAGAACCAGAGTTAGGAAACAAAAGGCTCCAGCTACTGTACCACCCACCATAGCAACACTCACTTTTTTGTGATGAACAGGAGGATTAAAATCTGGAGCAAAAGAAAGTGGTTAGATCTTGCAAACTCGATAACCGACTTATGCTTATGCATGCAAGTCAGACATAACAAAAATGAAGTCAATAGATTTAGCAACATACTAGGATCTACCGATATGGCCGAAATCAGCGGCCCATAAGTTCCTCTGTCTGGAATGCCGGTAGTCCCTTTCCCAGCCCAATAGAGATGGATCTTCAAGGTATGTCCAGTAACCGCCACAGTGAAATTCTTCACGATGGGCTTACCGGGCCCACCAGCCTCCGCCGCAATATTAAAATCCTTCAGAACCAATCTTCCCTGCAAGTAGACGTCGAAAATGCGCCTTCCGAGGCTGCTGAACGTGCTATCATTCGTAAAAACAATCTCGGCAAAGTGGAGTCTCACTGTGTAGTTCCCGTTCAGGAGGCAAAGGCCGTAGTAAGTGAGGGAAAGCGGGGAGGCCCGTGCGGTTCTGTAGAGTTCGGAAAACGGGGACGTGGCATTGTGGAGAGATGAAGTGTTGGTGGTTTTGTAGTTATCCGAGTCGATATCGTTATCCATGAAGTTGCCTGTGCTGCTGAAAGCCCACTTTTGGCTCGCATAATACATTGAGGCGCCTCTCGGTTCTGCATCGGCTTCGTATTTCGCGTCATTAGTGATGTTCACTTCTTCGCCCCCGCAGTTAATGTGCAGTGAGTAGTACTCTGTAAGATGACAAGTTATCATTACATTACAAACACACGAGTAATAAATACTAAATTCAACTAAATTACAAAGATTCAACTTAAAACTTGTTTTTCTTCTAGGTAACCAAGTATTCGAATTGCTGATGTAAGAGAATTGGTAAGAAACATAAGACAAGTGAGTTTTATACATCGAATATGCTTTAAAAATGTATAAATATCCTTACGCTGAGTTCGTGGATTTGGACATGGAAATTCTTGCTTCATACATGAGTGTACTCTTCCGCTGTCGAAATGAAAAACACTAATGTTACTGGTGTGGTTTCAGACAGACTGACAAGTGACAAATAAACTTGTATTTTTATAATTGCCGCTTAAGGTATCGTAACAAAAGAGATAAGGAGATATGTCTCGGATCTTACAATTGATTAGCTGCTGATGAGAAGCTCTCCACCAAGTTTCTGGAGCAAATAAGTTCATAATATTGATGTAAGACAAAGTTTCTTAATGGATTATTTACTTGTAGCTGAATAAGATACTTACACACTCCCTCGTGGGCATTCGATTGGCGATGTGCTTTCAGATGTGAAATTGTTGTAAGAGATATCTCTGTTCAAGAAATTAACGGAATGAATATGTAAAAACTATGCATTTGCAGAAACGGTACAAGCAAATATAATGAAACTGCATCTCAGCTTATATTGCAACAGAATTACAAGCAAGGTATTCGTGCGATGCTTACGCATTCTTGTTCCTTTCAAGAATCCAACTCGGAATTTGTCCTGTAAGTCTATTTCTCGTCAAAAACCTACAAAACATAAAATGGTAGTTGCTCGTGAAGAAAATAAGGGTATGCAAAACCAAAGAACTGAACAAGAATAAATTTACTTACAGGAAATCAACTCTTGTAAGATGAGCAAAAGAATCAGGAATCTCTCCGGTCAAGTTATTGAAACTAAGGTCCCTACATTTCCAAAAAGTTCAACATAATATCTTCTGACTGTCATGCAAGGTCGAATATTATGTTCCGTAGTAACAAAAAAACAATTTCGAGCCAAATTCTTCACAAAAGATACATCGTACTCAAGATAAAGAGTTATGGAGAATAATGCTGCCTCAAGCATATTTTATGTCAATTTAAAGGAACCGAGCCGAAAAGCCTGATATACTCACAGATTTTTCAATTTTTGCATGTCACCAATATATTCAGGGATTCCTCCTTGTAGCCGGCAATTCCTTAATATTCTATACAGAAAGGTTGAAGTTAGTGAAATCGGGTAGTCGGGTTTCCAAATTACCACAAGATTTCGGATAAAAAAAAAGTTGAAAACTAACATGACTTTGATGGACTTCATATCACTTAGTACTGGAAAAGGTGAACCTCCACCTGTTAAATCACTTATCCTCCTGAAAGTCAAAAAATGAGGGTGAATATAGTTGCACGCCATACGTGAGAAGAATCGAAGAGAAACTATTATACGACACTCACAAGTCAAGCAAGCTTGTGAGGGAAGATATAGAAGATGGGATTGGGCCTCTAAGAGAGCAACCTTGAATGTGCCTATGAGAATGTCAAAAAAGTTAACCATTTCAATATCGATAATCATGCTTGCTCGAGCATTTCTTCGGAAGCTTCCTCAATCACTTACCAAAACACATGCGTACAGTTAATATAAGGCTACTTACAGTTTTTCAATTTGTCTCCAGCTGCCGATAAAATCTGGTATTCTTCCTCTGAAGTTATTGTCACTTATCCTCCTATAATTTGAAAGACAATATGAGATGACAATGCTTTCTAATAAAAATCGAACATTAGAAAGACAAATATCACACATGATCCGAAAGAACTCACATGTCAGTTAATGAGGTCAGCCTGGCAAGCCCCACTGGTAAATCTCCAGTAAACGCATTTGACGACAGAACACTAAAAAGTTGGATTAGATAAAAACATCTCATTAGTAATTATGATTATATTAATCGAAGCTGGAATAAAAATTTGAAGAAATAGAATCGAGAACAAGCGCTATAACATTACAGTTTCCGCAAATTGACTAAGCGGCCAATGTCCGAAGGAATGGGACCAGAAAACCGGTTCCCCTCGAGGCTCCTGCATTTGGATATTCCAAATTGTAGAAAATGGATCTATGAGAAAGAACAATGGAAAAAGTTACCCAAAAAAAAAAAAAAAAAAAAATAGTCGAATCATAAAGATTTGTAGAAGATTAAAAGAGGCTGCAGCTTACAAGTTCACAAGGGTGGTTAATGTGGTAATAACCTTTGGAAATGGACCGGATAAATTGTTTCCCATAAAAGACCTGTGTAGAGTAAGCCAAAGAAAAAGCACGAGACGGGTTAAAGAGTTGAAGTGCTAAGCAGGAAGTGAATCGAGCAACAACTAGTTTAGGGGAAAATGAAATTACAGATCAACCAAGACCATTTTAGCCCACTGAGGAGGTATAGTACCATTAAGGAAGTTGCGACTAAGATCCCTGCACAACACGTGAATGAAATGAGAAAAAAGAAAAAGTCCGCTTTATTACATGAGGCGATTGTTGAAGTTATTCTTGATCAAGCAGAGAATATATACTAAAAATGACTAACAAGTTTTTAAGTTGGCGAAACTTTGCGAATTCCGGTGGAACGCTTCCTGTTAAATTCTGTCCTTTGAAAGCTCTGCATCGGTTTTTTATAAGAAAAGGGATAGTTAGAGATAACTAAGACAATTGTACCATCTTTGTTACATCGGCCAAATAACCAGCAAAAAAGTGTCTTAGCTGAAACACAAATCATGCTATGAGACGGCTCAACCGATAGGCTAGTTGAACTCTTATAGTTTTCAAATAAAACGCCACTATGTAATGACATTGACATGAACGTTAGGTGATTATATATAGTGTAGGTTGATAATTCCACGTCAAAATACTGCATCACACTACAATTCCAAGCATTCGTAACATATGGTTCCACATAGGATTTATCGTTGTACGTACTCACACACACACACACAACATGTGCTCATGTGTTGATCAATACTAGGGCTACAAATGAGCGAGCATTGACCTTATCGAACAGGAATATTGAATTTTCTTTTAGCTACTCTCGAGCTCGACTTAGAGGCTCGAGCTGGAGTCGAACTTTGACTCAAGCGCTCGCGAGCCGCTCGGTTCGTTACAACCATGTTGCACGTGATATCATCCGAATAAAGGATAATATTATCTCGTCAATCTCAAGTCATCAATTTTCAGAGACCATAAATAGTTTTGAAGTTCGAACACAATTTTTTTAATAGTTGACATGAAAAAAGCAACTTGCAGCTTAAGACCATAATAATATTATAGTACGTACTTAGGATATTCACGAGCCTTGGCTCATCGGCGGGGATTTTAACTGCATTCTCCGACAATGCGAACGCACGGGGGGGGCTCGAAATCACCAACCCACTAGTCACGACTTCTCAGCGTGGCTCTTTAATAATGGGCTCGAGGAATTACGCACGGACGGCATGTTATTCACGTGGGAGCGTGGCGACCTGAAGCAAAAGCTCGACCGCTTCGTTGCCAACCCAGCATGGTTACACACCTTCACAGATTGCTTCGTCAAGCACCTTCCACGTAGTTACTCGGACCACTTCCCGCTGCTAGTCAACCTCTCGGCCAGCTCTTCCCCAGCTAGACCACCCAAGGCCTTCAAATTTATGGCCTCTTGGCTCCTTCATGACGGATTTGACGGACTAGTGACGAAGGCTTGGGCTGGGAAACCTTACTCTGAGGCTAGCCTTTGTTTCCGGGACCTGGCTAGACATTGGAACTTTAACGTATTCGGTAATATTTTCCAACGCAAGAAGCGACTTCTTAAGCGGATTGCTGGGATCCAACGGGAGCTTCAAAAATACTCTACGCCTAGGCTGCTTGCCTTGGAATCCACTCTACGTAAAGAACTTGATACAGTTGCTTTGGAGGAGGAGATCTTATTGATCCAAAAGTCGCAACGTGACTGGACGCTTTTTGGTGACCGAAACACCACTTTTTATCACAGAGCGGTTAAGCAACGTCGGTATCATAATCGAATACTCTCGCTGCGCGATGATGGTGATTCCGTGGTCGAGAACCCCGAGTCACTGCTAAGAATGGCTCTTGACTATTTTCGGGGCATTTACACGCATTCTGCTCCAGTTCCAGTGGGCCCGGGAATGAACAACTTATTTCCACAGCTTGATCCTCTTCTCTTAACTCGCATGGACCGCGTGGTGAGTGACACAGAAATCCGGCTTGCACTCAATGATATGAAACCGCTGAAAGCACCTGGTCCCGATGGAATCCATGCGATATTTTTCCAACAAAAATGGGACATCGTAGGCCCGTCAGTGTGCAACATGGTCCGCACTTTTTTCGATGGAGGCCGTTTGCCATCGGATCTGAACAGAACCTTACTTATTCTCATTCCAAAGATAGCTAACCCCGAGCGTATCCAACACTTTCGACCTATCAGCCTACTCAACGTTGTCTACAAGCTGATCACTAAAGTGTTGGTTAACCGTATGAAGCCGGCCCTTCCACTTCTTGTTGGTCCGACTCAAGCTAGCTTTGTGCCCGGTCGCCATATTACTGATAATATTATTGTAGCCCAAGAGTTGATACACTCCATGCGAATTAAGTCGGGCCGAAGGGGTCTCATGGTGATCAAAGTTGACTTAGAAAAGGCCTATGACTTTCTTCGATGGGACTTTGTAGAGGAAACGCTTCGAGCGGCCGGGTTCCCCATTAAATTTGTTCGGAGTGTTATGGCTTGCGTCCAGTCGTCGGCTATGCAACTTAGCTTCAATGGGATCACGAGTGAAGCTTTTCTTCCCAATCGTGGAGTGCGCCAAGGAGACCCGATCTCCCCTTACCTGTTCGTCCTATGCATCGAGCGACTGGCCCAGCTTATCCAATGCCATGTGGATGCCGGCGATTGGCGACCAATTAAGGTGGGCACCACTGAGGTTCGCGTCCCACTCCTCATGTTCGCGGATGACTTGCTTTTATTTTTAGAAGCTAGTGATGATCAGGCCAAGTTAGTCGACTCAGTGTTGTCAGATTTTTGCTCCATGTCCGGACTTAAGATAAGTCGTGCCAAGACGAATGTCTTTTTTTCGAAGAATGTTTCATTATCCGACCAGCAAGCCCTTGCTCGGACCATGGGATTTTCAATTGTTACAAATCTTGGGAAATATCTCGGGGTCCCAGTACTACATGGTCGAGTAACCAACCACACCTACGGCAATATCATTGAAAATGCAGACGCCAGGCTTGCTAGTTGGAAAGCAAACACGTTGTCCCTCGCTGGCCGACTCGTTCTCACGCAGTCGGTAGTTAGCTCATTGCCGTTCTATACCATGCAAACTGCATGGTTGCCTAACGGGACTTGTGCTGGTATTGAAAAGCGATGTCGTAATTTTTTATGGGGGGGCACTTCCTCCGGCCGGAAAATTCACCTCGTGTCGTGGGATACGGTATGTCTACCTAAAGAATGTGGAGGCCTGGGCATCAAAAAACAACGTGACATGAACACTGCCCTACTAATGAAAATGGGTTGGTCCCTTCTTACCAATCCACACGCGCTTTGGGTTCGGCTCCTCCTAGCTAAATATAAATTGGACCCCGCCCTTATGGATGATGGATTTGTATTTCCCAAAGGGTCTGCTATCCTTCAGGCCATTAAAAAAATTTGGCCGGCATTGCGTAATGGAGTAAGATGGTCCATTGGTGACGGGTCCACGACCCGATTTTGGAAAGATAATTGGACGCACAGTCCGTCCCCTCTGTTGGGTGTTGCGCTTGGCCCTATCCCGCCCGAGCAGCTCGACTGGAAGGTTAGTGCTTTTGTTGATGAGGCGGGTCAATGGAGGTGGGATCTCTTTGGTCACTTAATCCCGGCAGGCTTCGCATTGCGTATCGCTGCGGTTCTTCCTCCTTCGCGCATTGCTGGACCTGATAAAATATATTGGGGGTTTTCCGAAAGTGGTCGCTTCACGACGAAGTCGACGTATGAGGTGCTGGCTAAGGCCACTTCGATGCCGGTAATCGATTTGACCCCATGGAGAATAATTTGGAAGTGGCCTGGCCCGCAAAGGGTTCGACAATTCCTTTGGCTTGTCGCTCACGGCAAACTTCTCACTAACAGCGAACGGAATAGGCGACACATCTCAGGCTCGTCGACTTGCACTCTTTGTAGCCGACAAGAGGAAACTATTATGCATTGTCTCCGGGACTGTAATGGCGCCCGACGGATTTGGCGTACCTTGGTCCCTGCCTGCCAACAAGCTGCGTTTTTTCGCCTTCCGTTAAGGGATTGGCTTATTCACAATTTGCAAAATGAGCTGGGCATTAGCGTTGTCGGCTGGGAAATTCTTTTTGGGGTTACTGCTTGGCTCATTTGGAAAGGAAGGAATGAAAAAGTATTCTCTGATAAAGAATTTGTTGTCTTACAGAAAATTCGGGAAGCAC